CAAAATGTACCATTATATATATATATTTTATAGCTTGTACACAAATGTATCCTGAAAGATAATTTTTCCAACTAGTAAATTTATTTTAAGAAAATTATGCGAAATGGGATTTGGTTGAGGTTACTCTTGGCTTGTTTTCATCTTCAGCTAGTGCCGTTTTGTGGGCTGCAGACAAAATATCGCATGAACATTTTAATGCTATTGATAATAGCAATAAATGGTTTCATCAAGCACCCGGTGTTGTGATTAAGCTAACATTTTCAAGGATGTCATTCCGGAAACTAAGATATTTAAAGTGGAATCTTTAATTATATCTCATTCCCCGGCATCTTTGATTATCTTGTCAAAACTAACCGCATGGTTATTCCCATGATATTTATTTTTATTATGATTACTCTTGTTTTTTAACATACTTACCTACGAAAACAAACTATTTTCATTAAAAATAAGGGAACGGTATAACTTTGTTCTTCAATTACTCAATACTTGGTAAGTTCATTCCAGAGATTCATGTGAAAAATGTGAGCTATTTATTTATGTCCAGGAATATTGTAAAGATATTAGGTCTATCCATAGCAAGTAGTGGGGTTATACCAAAACACTCAGAAAGCTTGATCATACGGATGAGAATTGTTCCATTTAATTGGTGATTTAATTAAGAAATAGTTCAAAACCCCGGAAGCATCGTGCTTCTGGGTTAATTTACAATTTAGGTGGGCAAGCGTCCTAAATGCTCAGATCTAGGGTAAAAAATGTAGCCCAATGTATCTCTATTCAATGTAAGTCTTCGTAATCGATACAACGATGAGGGTTGGTTATTTTTAACGAGTTATAAAGTCCATGATAATAAGGAGTCTGCGTCTTGCAGATACAACTCATATCGATCAGGACATTGGTAGCTTAAATGAAATGCTGCTTCAAAACAATTTTCCTAAAGGATTAGTAGACAATTACATATCAAGTGTAGTCAACAAGTTTAAAGAAGCTTGCAATCAGGTGCGGTATAGAAAGCTGGACAATTCTACTAGGTTCCTGATTTTGTCTTCCTTTAGCCTGCGAAAAAGGTGGGTGGACTACTAAGGGAATGTAACAAAAAAATGTATAAAGAGAAATTAACACTTTCTCCAGAAGTACCCTCGTTTAGAGAATATTCAGACCCTCTTCCTAGATAAGTGTGCTACAAGGCTTAGTGCTAGTGTGGTAAAGTCTATAGCGGGAGACCTGCCGACTCATCGACAAGGGATTGTGCGAAACACAACCGTTCGTAAAGGTCTGTGGGTCCAAAAATCTCAGCTCGTTGGACACGGCCAAGTACATGACACTTAATAGACTGGTCAAAAACATACACGAAAGATTTTGTATTTTATAGATAACAAAACCAACGTCCTCAATGGATGGAATGAGCGTAGAAAAGTCACTAGGAGCTATTTGTGGCTGTTGTATAGACGTAAGGATAGCGAGAGAGGAGTGCATAACAAGCCACTGAGTACGAAGAAGCTGGATTAGCCCCGAGTTCGGTTAAGACTACCACCTCCCACGACGTGAGCATTACACACACACACACACAATGGAACAAGCCCAAATATGATTCAGCATTAGGCGATCGCGCGCTAGTTTTTTGTGTAATGAAACAGCTGCTGCCGAACATGGCGTTTCCGTTGAATTTCAAATAACCTTGCTTGCCTAAGGGTATTCTCATCAAATATGAACTGCGCTTTCGAGCGCGCCTAGGCCTTATCAGCAACCCCAGTAGGACTCGAACCATGACGATGCAACGTATAACCTTGACATTAACAACCACGCCAGATTGCCAAGAGTGGCCTTGTGTTGAAGGCAGATTTGGCTTTAATGGAAGGTCAAACATTTTCCCATATTAGATTCTGTAGTAAGATTAGCGATGAAGCTATAACAATCGACGGGACTAATTATATGTAGAAGATATGAAGGGCAAGATTGTATGGCCTTGTGTCGTCGCAGACTCCCTTCGTTGTATTTAAGTTGTTTAATCTTGTTTTCGCAACTTGGTCGTATTTATAGGAAGACATAGAGGAACGCAACTAGACCGGAATCCATTTTATGCATGGTAATTTCCAGTCGGACCGTGGACGTGGTACATTCCCAGAGGTCTCGCCGGCATCGTCAGTGAGTCTTGCCAGCTACCACCATACTACAACCCGTCAGAGACAAGTAAAGCCGATACTTTGACCAAACGTGTGCTAAACATTTGTGGTATCTCTCCTTCTGTCTTAGGCTACTCACATTTCCTATGTCCTCGTATCACGCCTTCACTATCACAATTTTCCCTTTCTTATATAATTGTAGTGTGGTGTGTCCTTTGAACGGTTTTATGAGAATCCTTCACACTCAATGCTGGCGTTCTCACCCCTCTTCATTCTTGTTCTGGGAATGTTGATCAGAGTCTGCCATATTGTTACGCAGTCTTCCTTCTCTAGGTCTTACCACAGTCTCTCTCTTGCCCCGTAAGATCCGTCTGCCTTCTTCCTGGTTCACATATTTCACTCGACCCCTGCCAGTCCATCTGTGCCACTCGAGGCGTTATTCGCACTCCTCTGCGTCTGGGTGACTAATTCGCGGCTAAAGCCTCTGAGTAAGTCTCATTGCCAAGCTTTTGCTACATGGACCACGTCTCTGGTAAAACCTACTGTCATCCAACTAGGGCCAGTCTCCGGAGTGCCTATCCTGTTTCTATCCGTATACCAAGTCTATGATTCGTTATGCCCTAGTCTCTTGTGTGCCAACCCACAAACGTGGTTCAAAATTAAACCTAATCAAAGCAAGCAGTACCAAGTCATTAGGGGTAGAAACAGGATAGACGCAGCGGAGACTAGAGCTAATTGGTTGACAGTAGGCCTGTTTTACCATAGACGTGGTCAAGCAAAGGCTTGGTCATGAGACTTACTCAGAGGCTTTAAACTCAAATTAATCTCACAGAGGCACTGTAGAAAATAACGCCTTGAGTAGCACAGATGAGGAGGCAGTGGTAGAGTGAAATACTTGAACCAGGGAGATAGCAGATGTAGGTAGGTTGTAGAGACTACCAGTAAATCAGATATATGAGCTCTCTAAAACCTACTCAAAGCGAAATATAAGTAATGCTACCGATTGTTATGTCAAATATAATTTTGCTTGATCGATAAATCCACCACAGAATATGATATGAAAAAATGTATGGGCTTCCTTGAAATTCACGTCTACCCTGTGATCCAAGGTTTTTCGTGTAAGTGTGGCGTAGTAATTTACGTGTCGAGACTATACACTGCACCTTCGTGGTTCGGGTCCCGCTGGAGGTGCTGATAAGACATAGATGAGGTGGAAGCTGCAGTCCACCCTGAATGAGAATACCTTTAGGCAAAGCAAGGCTGTAAAATTTAGTGGAAATTTCATGTCCACTCATATCATTGTGGGAGCATTAAACTATCGGTCCTTCATTAGCTTAAACGAAATACGGTAATCACCGATCAATCTGACTTATTCTGGTATATTTCGTAGTTCTCCTTTGTACTACAAATCCATGGTAAGGTGACGGATGAGTGACGAAAGTTATGCTTTATTCTGACCTATGTTGTTCTCAAAACTGAGATTTCCTCTTGGAAATACCTTGCAAAATTTATAACCTCAGGACAATTATTTCTCGGTTATGCCAGTTTATGAATCCATTTAACCCATCTTTTCAAACAAAATAAAAGGCATGCCATCACCAAAATAATCTAAAGATTCTTTATATGCTGGTGGTGGTGCTTTAAGCTGAGTTACTATGTTTAGCTGCACCCGTAATTTTGTCAGTTGACGTAGAAAGCTATGGAATATAATGCCGTAATCGAAGGATGAGGACCTTCTATTGAGTGACACTATTCAGTTTGGCTAAAATGGGTAATAGTGTTACCTACTAATTGATCTTGGTATATATAATAAAGATAAATGATTATAAGAGCTCAATAGGCTTGGATAGTGCTATGGAGAGGCAATTTCAGAAGCACGGAAAAATGTTTTAGATACGATATCATGGAGTATAATTTATATGAGCTAGCTTTTGCATCATTTTGTGACATCAAACTTGTTTTTTCATGGGTGGAAGCTCGCTTTAATACTTATTTTTAAGGTATATTAAGAAGAGGCACATCGCGGCCAAATTCGACATTTGAGGTCAGAAAACCTGATTCGGCTGAGTATTGTACCAATACTAATGAAGATGGGCACCATTTTAGAATTGTGAAATACGAATGATGCCTGTTTGAATCGAAAGAAGACTTTGCAAAATAAAAAATAAAGTATACTCAAAATTCAGACAAGTATCTATACAAAGCCAGTAAAATGAG